AGAGAAGATATATATATATATATATATATAGTATTTTATAAAACTAGTAATGTTGTTTGAATCATAATAAATGATAGAATTCAGCAAACACTAGTGTATATGTAAAGTTATAGTACACATTCTCTGATCTATTTCAAACTATCAGTTGTTTTAGAAATTTTGTTTAAGTGAAACGAGAGACAATGTTAAAATAGAATACAAAGTTAATTTAGTCAAATATGATTATACTTTCTTAAATAAGATATTAATTATATAAAGATTTTAATTGTCATAGTGTAAAAAATTATACACTATCAATTAAAAAAAAATTCTTGACATCACTTTTGATAATCGTTATAAAAATGTTAAATTATCCTTTTATCATATTTTTTTAACCATAATTTTGGTTCCTCTATTTTAAATTAGAGATACTTAATTTCTTATTTTTAAAAATAAAAAATTTTGGTCCTACAATCAATTTAATATTCGTTAATAATTAATATTTAATGGTATATAGTCATCTATTACTACTTAAATCAAATGATATTTAAAGAGGTGACATTTAAGAATTAAAAATAAAAAATAAAATATAAAAGACTTTCATTTTGTATTTATTTTTTGAGTGGTTAATATTTATTTTATTAATAAAAATCTCATGTACGTGTTTTTTCAATTTTAAATATTATGTTACTAAATGTTATGTTACTTAAATATAAAACATTAAAATTTAATGTTAATGTATGTTAATTTGATGGAAGGATCAAAATTTCATATTTTTACAACTACGAAGATTAAATATCTTTATTTTAAAATAGAGGGACTAAAATTGTGAATCAACAAAAATAGAGAGATAAAAAGTACAATTTAACCTAATCAAAATTTTAAAAAATTATATACATAATACCCTATGATTAAATAACAATATAAAAAATATATGTTTTCAATGTATTCTAATTAAATTCTTATATAAAAAGACTCTGGCAAATTATGTTTCAAAATGGAGGTAATATGTTAATATATGCGTGTGATTAAAATAGCTAAACATATTTCTTTACTATAATGAATTAAGGGGGAGCATATCCATTAATTTTATATAATGAGAAGAAAGAGGGAGGGCGAAGGATTTTGTATAGTTGTATTCTTAAATTTATGTCTTTTACATTTTTTTTCATAAACAATGTTGAGACATTATCTCAAAGGTAATAAATAAAGTTTAAATTGTTTTTGTATGACTTCTATTATTCGAATATTATTTTAATATTGTACTAGATTAATTTCTCATATTCTAAGATAAGTTTTATAATTATTAAATTTTAATTATGTCTTATATATATATATATATATTTGAAAGCGGATTTATTTTTTTAAGAGATAAATTAAAATAAAAATAAATACTAACTAATGCTAGGATGCAATTAGAAGAAATCAAGAAGCACTCCCAATAAACTCTGTATTAGCTCTATACCCTTCCTTGCCTTCATCTGATCCAATGGCAGGCCCATATTTACAACTTTGTATGATGATTCAATGAGACAAATAAAAAAAAAAAAAAAAAAAGTTAGACCTCAAAACTTGTTGAGGGGAGTGCCTCACATGAACCAAATGCTAAAATAATTTTTTTTTGGGTGCTTAAATAAATTAATGCATAGTTTGTTGAGCTTGATCAATTTCTTATTCCCACTTCCAACAAGATATCCCAATCACTAATTAAGCTCCACATTGTCTAATCCTTGTCCTCTGAAGAATACCACAATCAACCTCGCTAGGAAAAAAATTGCAGCAGTTCCCAAAAAGTTTCAGATTAGTAATTCAGCTAAACAAATAGGTTAAGCATTTTTTTTTTCATCTTCATGTAATTACGTGCGCTACAAATGCAAAATATTTATCTACTTGATCAACAATTTATTTCTATTATAAAATTTGATTGATCATCATTAATATTGTCTTTACTTTTTTAATTATTTTTTTATCCACAAAACTCTAATATGAGATTTTATTTGAAAATTTCAAACTCAACTCCAATCGAACTAGATAATTTTGTTTCATTTTGTACTCAAGTAATGCATGCATTGAATATTTCTTTCTGCCTTCGGCTCCAAATAAGATGTACACAAGCACAAGATCCATTAAGACACATTGACCAACACCAACACGCAACAATCTCCTCTTTACTCCACTTCAAGCATGCACACATTACTTTTGTCACAAATTAAATAATGAATTAAGCGTTCTACCTCTTTGTCTTCTAAAATACTTGGATATATTCATGTTTAAGTTAAATGAATTTAACTACTTTACAGCACGCATTAGAAAATTTTCACAACAAAAGTTAAAATCTCAAAGACAAGTTATATTACCAACACTACGAAGTTAGTTTCCCATAACTAGCGAATCATGGTATGAAATTTTATTGGAAAAGATGTCCACATCGATTATGTTCCACCATGTTTCAAGCAAAATTTTCGGATGAAGATTGTCTATGGCCAAATACTAAAAAGGCAAATTATATTATCCATGAATATGTATATTTAACTACTGAATAGTGATTTTCTTTAAGAAAAAAATACATTGTAATTAATTCATAACATAATGATTAATTTGAAGAAGAAAAAAAAAATCAAAAGGTATTTTTTAAGTTTAAATGCATTTTTGGTCCCTTCAATAAAGCAATGTGTACGTTTCATCATACTATATTATTAGATTACCATAATTAAGAAGGATTGAATGTAGCAAAATAGTATACATTTCATCATAAAGGTCAATCTCCACATGTCATAGGAGAGTGATCATCATGGTTTGAAAAATAGGTGGGAGTGTTCCTCGAGCCTTCATTAGGACTTTCAATTTAAAGATAGTTTTGACCGATTCATCAATTGATCATCTAAATAAAGTAGACTTCAAAAGACTAAATGGGTTACCTATTAGCATGAAATTTTTCACGAGGAATCTTCCTAGGATCTGAACAATGGATGAAATTTCTCCATCTCTATTAGCAACATAGAACATCAGGAGAGATATACTGGTAATGGTAGATCTAAATACAGAGTGATTTTTGCAATCTATAAATGATTTGGTGGTGTAAGGTGGCTCGCTGAAATGGCTTTAGGTGCTTGATTTGCTCTAGAAAGTTTAACTTGAACTTGAAATGTAGAGGATGTAGTTTGGGAAAATGGCCAAGGCTACACTTGGAGCATAGAGTAGTTACAACAGTCCCGGCCCAATCAAAAAGCATTTTTATAATGGATGCATAGTGTATTTGGATTCCAAATACAATAGTAGTTAGAGTCTATCAGAGCAACTTTGGCAAGTACACAATTACCTTTTCTCCCATATGAAGGGGAAAAAATTAGTTTTATGGCACCAAAGTGATCAGTTGTATAACCCGTTGCCTTCCAATAGTTTATGTGTTTGAAGGGTTTCTAGATCTACATACTATTCTTGGCTAGTAACAAGAAAATTATATTGATCCAATCTTGAGGATGGGACCTGTTATTCAATTTCACATTTGGTTTATTGGTAGCAATCAAACAAAAAATAAAATAGGTTTAAGGATATTCGTCTTCTAAAGACAGTATAAGCGCTAAAACGAATTGAATTAGTGTTATATACTTAGGGATGGCAACGGGGCGGGGCGGGTACAGGTTTCATGATACCTGTCCCCGTCCCCGCGAGCCAAACTCATCCCCGTCCCCGTACCCGTACCCGCCGGGTATGTGATTTTCATCCCCATTCCCGTCTCCGTCAGGTATCGGGTATACCCGATACCCGTACTAGTCAAATTTTTTATTTTTATTTTTTTTAAAAAAATAATATTTTTAAATTATTTTTTTAATTATATTATAATTATAATTAGGTTATTTTTTTTATCTCATATTATAATAAATAATCACACATAAAAAAATATTAAAATTCTTTAATATAATTAATTTGAAAGTGAGTATTAAATTAAAAATGGAAACGGGAACAAGTACAGGTACGGGTACGGGTACAGGGCAGGTAAGTACATACCTGTACCCGTACCCAATTTAATATATCGAGGTTTTACTCGTACCCGGTCAAACTGGGTATTCTCCGTCAAAGTCGGGACGAGTTCGGGTATTACCCGCAAGTACGGGTATATTTGCCATCCCTATATATACTCTTGCATCATCATGAGCGAAATAGTATTTTATATAAATTTTCTATATCAGTAGTTTTTGAACATGACTACGCAATGAGGGAAAAAAATTAATAAAATAGGCTATATTGACATGGTAAGGTTTTAATTTAGCTTAACAAGCTAAAGTAAATTGCATGTACAGTTGAGTTACAAAAATAAACTTTCTAATTAATCAAACCTAATATACATTCTTACCGAACTAAGCTTAAATTAACTCAATTCTTTTTCTCCCCTTAGTAAAAACTAAAAAAAAGCATGTTAAAGTAACATATCATCACAACCTTATGTCAAAATTGGAATTTTAGAGCTTGAGTTCTTTTTTCGAAAATAAATAAATAAATAGAATTTTCTTTTTAACATGTTGCGGGCAAAGAGATCTAATAAGAGTGCTTTTATAACTGCAAAACGATTGATAAAATATGAGTACTTGTTAAGAAGTCACTCACGGCCAAACGCCTTGGAGATGTAATTGAAAGATGCAATTTACTTTCTAACAACCAAATATAGTACAAGACCCAATAATGAAGTCTATAACATATAGTACATAATAAAATTACATTACACCCAGGTAATTTTTGATTACCTGAAGATACGCCAAATTATTTATTGCGCATACAACTACCTTGGGTCTTTCTAAGCTGCTCATCTTTTTTCTTAAAAAAAGAAAAGAGAAGCATGGGATGACATTTTCTTATGGTCAATGTGGAATGAAAATGGCAAGTTTACAGAACCACAGGCTTGATTGGATAAGCATCTGCCACTTTAGATGTTTTAGATTGTTTGCCATCCATTGGCTCAACACCCAACCATTTTTGAATATATTGAAATACTGTTTCATCTCGTAATATTCCACGGTGAGAAGCAGTAACTCCTACTCTTTCAGTGGCTTCAAGTCCATCAGCCTGTAATAGACAAAAAGAACCCCACAAATTAATAATAAAACTATCATAATTAATTTTGCCTAAATGTCACTTTTATAGAATAAGCAATTGCTATCACAAGATAAATTTGGAAGCACTATATTAAGAAAGTATGACGTAGTTCAAACACCAAACAAATGGCCTTCTAATTAGATAACTTCCACATGCATCTATCTTCAAAAGCCAGCAAATAATTGCATTTAAGACATTACAGCTCTGCCCTAAGAAGCTTTTGAAAATTTCAACATGGCTACAGCTAAGTGTTAATGTGTTATACAGAACACAGAAAGATCAGAGTACCTTGGCAGATTCGGTAGGAACTGTTCCATCTCCGTCAACATAAGAATATTGTGGCTGAAAACAAACAGGAGAAAATTTCACATCGAGTAGAATAAGAAGTTTCATGTGGTACTTAAGTCATGTTGCCCTTGTACCTAATGGACTAGTTTTTGGGGTTAGGTTTTAAGTTCTAACAGATAACTCATGAGTCATGACCTGAATTAATAGTAAAAAAAAGGGCGGCCCAGTGCACGAGGCTCCCACCTAGTGGGGTCTGGGGAGGGTAGATGTACGCAGCCTTACCCCCGCAAGCGGAGAGGCTGTTTCCAGGACTTGAACCCGTGACCTCTTGGTCACTAAGCAGCAACCTTACCGTTGCGCCAAGGCTCACCCTCTCATGACCTGAATTAATAGTGCTCAATAAAATTAGATCTGCAATCATTTGTAAATTTGATTATTTTTTTTTATAATAAAGTCATAAATGTTCTTGTTAATATTTTTATTTTTACATTAAGTAGAAGAAGCCCTAATTCCCAAGACCAAGAATGGTTTTAAGTTCAAATTTACAATACAGGATTTGCTGGTCTCAAGTTTAGAATGAGGGAAAATTCTAGCCTCTCGGTAGAGATATCAAATGACACAGTATCAATGAAATAATTTTAAAAAATGAAGATAGAAGAGTCTCATTAGTGGCCTTAATCTTTGGCATGTAAGAGACTTAAGTAACTCACCATTGTGTGGCATATTTCAGATAAGTCCTCTATTGGAGATTTTTCAGAACCATAACTGCATTAAGCATGGACATCAGGACACATCAGAAGCAGAAAAAGCAGAGAAACTTTTGAATATCGAGAAGTGGAAATTGCATTTAAACTCTCATGAGGATAAGATTATCCTTCTTTTGTATCACATTTGTATGCCAATGATATGATTCTACTTATGTAGACCAAAGATTATGAAAAAAGGTTTTAAAGTTTAAATAAAAATATATCAGATAATAGGAAAAGTTCAGAATATAAGAAACTGATTATGGGGCATTGTAAAATTCAAATCAAAGTTATAAGGAGGATAAACATCCCAATATCAATTTTGTAAGGAGATGGGTTTCTACCAAACTTTCCCATCTCTCAACCTAAATTAATACTACTGGTTTATAGATGTATTTTTTTTTTCCCAAGAGAAATTTAGTCACATACCAAACATCAAAAGGTGTGTCCATTGATGTCCCATAAATGTTATAGAAGCAGACTCCATCTGGCAGTTTAGCTTTTTCTATGAGTTGACGTGTTTCAACAGCCCATTCAAGGATATCATGGTTAAAGGGCAGTGATATCATTTTCCCGTTATAATTTAGCTGCAAAAAAATAACACCCATAAGTCCTTCATAAAAGTAAATAGGACTATAGAAAAATTGCCTGAGAAATCATTTTTGTTTTAATTAGAAAAAGAAAGATAACGTGTTATATTGCATGGTTTTCATGACTAACAAATCATTTGTTTGGTATTAGAGATTAAATTTGCATAGCGACATTTGCCTTAATAAGCAAAAGACTTCATGCAAACTTCAGATCTTCTTTTATTAAAGAGAGGTCCCTTGAGCTACAACCAGTGTCCAGAGAACAAGACCAGACCAAATCAACCAGTTTGCCTGATTGAACCTGGAACTGATCCAAGCTTTGTTCAGTTCTTATCTAATAACCACAATTGGTCATAACTGGTCAAAGACTATGCAAGTCAGCTGGTTTTGTGAGAACCAGTCAAACCAACTGCAGAGCCTAGGTGGGTCAACCAGTTTACATCTGTGACATGACAACTCATTACGTGCCATGTCACATATGGTTAGGAGTCTAACCCAAGAACTTGACATGCAAGGCAAAGGGTAGGCCTCGGCTTGCAAGAGGAAAACACACAAAAATTATTTTATGAAATTCAACTACAATAATAATAGAATTACCATATGAATGTAAATTAAACTTTTAGAATATTGTCATTCAAAAAATAAAAATGATATACCTTTAATGATTTAACAGAACTTTAATAATACGGATATATTTTGAATTCAATAGTGTTTATATTATATTATAATTTACTTATCTATTTTACCAGTATTATATTTTAATTATTGATTGTATATTATTTGCTAAAATTTCAAGTATGCTCCTATATATGTCAACAAATTACTTGGTAATCATACAAGAAAAATCAAAGCTTCATCATAAAAATCCTTTAACATTTTAAAGCATATATGTTCACACATCTTACATTCATCAACCCAAAGAAAAGCTCAAATAGATTACCTCATTGTTCCTTAGTGCTTCTTCAAATAAAGAGATACTCTGGGTTGGTCCATAAGATTCCAAACTGATGTTATTGTCCCCGTCCTTGGTATACTTTCTCCAAACTAGAATTTCTGGCTGCTTTTTCCATTCATAATCCGGATTTGCCAACATCTCATAAATTGATGGACACTCCACTAGCTAATGTGGTAAGAAAGATCATTCCAAAAAACTTAGTGGATTTACAACACGTTACAAAAAAGAGTATGAAAAATGTGACCGTTCTCAAAGGAATGAATTGGACTACAACCAAGCTTTGGATCTCAAAAACTAGTGAACATGAGCTGCAGTGCAGACATCAGTGAATAAGCGTAATGGCCAGAGAGGTTCAGCATTGTGAAGCCTTCAATTGCTAAGTTGGAATGAGTAGTTGAAGAGAGAAGCTGTCAGAGAAAGTTTAAGAGTGTACTCATTGTCATTCTGTTCTGTATGCAGCTCATATACACTAGTTCCAAAGGATTCAAAGCTCAGTCACCACCCAACTCATTCCTTTGAAAAGCCAGTTCATTTGAACTGGACCTTGGTCGCTGCCTTTGCAATGATGCCATGATTTAAATTTTTGAAAGTGCAATGGAAATTTTTCCTTGGAAATATGTTGTCCAATGGCCAATATTGAATTCAAAGATGCAGATGGAACTAATTAATTGAGAAAGAGAATTTACCAATTGATGCATAGTCCACCTTTTCACAAAAAAATAGCTTTGAAAGCCATCGACAAACTCTAATCCAGTTAATAAAGAATCATTGATGCACCCTGGGGCTCCTGTTCACGTGGAATTCATATTCAAGCATGGATGGTTAAGACATCTGGGAAAATGGAAAAGAAGAGTATAAAGGAAAAATATCCTAACACCTTTACATTTGTGATATGGTGCAGCAGGAATTTTTTAATATGGTTATAGACATCAATATATTTATATAGTAGGGTCCATAGTTAAAAAAACACTACAAGTAAGAAGACTTGTTACTCTTAGTAACCAAATGTCGGAAGCCAATTATGGCTTGGTATTCATTTCCATCCAGTATGTGGGAAAATGTCAGAAACAAATTAAGTCCCTTTCAAAGAACAGATAGAGATAGATAAAATTATGAATATGAGAGGGAAAATGCAAATCAAATTAATGAGAAGAAAAACTTCCATTTGAATATGAAGAGTAGATAATTAGTCTTAGTAGTTTCTCTCACAAATTTATAGAATAGCATGGTTGTCCATAAATTACATACGATTAAGAATTTATTTCAAATTCATCTTCTGAGTTTCACATGGCTATCACGAAGGGCAAGTTTATATTCAGCAAACTTGATGTTTTTAAATTTTCTTTCATAGACCAATACAATTGACCATTGATTACCCCTCTGCATACCAGAAAGGGTAGGTCAAACAAGAGGAAAACACACACAAACAGAGGAATCACCTTGAAATGGGCAAGCCAAGCAAATCCACTTATTCACATATTTCGTAAACACCTGCCAAGGAACAATGTAAACAGCCACTAGTTAAGCTATAACTTCCTTCCCTATAGACTGTAGAAAAGCACAAGCATTGCAAGTAGTCATGGAGAAAAACTATGCGCACATCATTGTGAAGCGACATGAAACATGAGATCATAATTCCTCCCATGGAATGCGAAATTAAATTGACTTTTCTTCCCCCAGAAGCTTTGTGAGCAGTTTCCAACTTGTGTTTTAGACCTTCCATTAACTTATCAATCCTACCATCAACAACAATAACAATAAGCGCATAGTTTGGACTTAGACACTGTTTAGATAAATTTCTTCATAAACACTCATGAGAGAAGAAAATAAAATGGCAAAATGAATTAAGTTTCTCTCATAAATTAAAATCAAAATATGCACATTAGCTTTTGAAGAAATTAAATGGGTGTATAAATCCTATCTAGTACTGGAAATTTCTGGTAAGAGAGAGATGCACACCAAATAAGCATGAGTTTATTTATTTTTAACCATTTAACATATTTGCGTGTCTCTCCCCAAAAACAAATTTCCGGTATGAGATAGGATCCACACTCAAATCAAATAAGAGAGTTTTTATAAAAGGTGACTACACAAGTTGATTTTAACTAACGAGAAAAACGCAATTTATTTAACCTTCTTATTTTCTTTTCTTATAAATGCTTATAGATAAGTTTATCCTATATCCAAACACGACCTTACTTTTACTTCACAGACTCACTGAATGAAGTCTATAATTTACAACAATAGTACCTATTGCTCTGCCGGAAATCATATCCGTAACCAAAGAGCGTGGTTCCCTTCTTGTAACCGCATCCAACAAGCATCTCAATCATGTCATGAAAGTGATACACCTCTGTCAAATGTATACATTTCGTAAACTGCCACAAAACACAAGAAGAACACCGTATAAGTAAACAGCACCAAGTATGAAGTTCATAAGCACAGTAACCGTTTGAAACCGGTGACTCACCCACGAGGGATCCAAAATATCGATGGCGTAGAGGCCGTAATCGTCATCAGGGACCACAATTTCAGACTTGGTGTCCAACGTCTCAGTGTAACCTGCAAGTTCGAAGAACGACGATTCAACTGAAAACTTAGAAATGCACAGGAAGTGGTAGTAGTAGTAGTTGTGGACTGTGGTGGTGGAAACAGTAATACCTGTTTGGGGATTGTAAAGGGACCAAATCTTCTTCCGGAACTCGACGTCAGCGAGGAGGAGCCTGACCCAAACCCGAGTGGTGAGCCCGAATTTCTTGGGCTTGGAGTTCACAATGGAGCCGCCCATACCCGAGACCAGCAGAACCGGGTCGCGATCCACAGAAGCATCGTCGGATCCAAAGCAGGGACAAAAACGCATCGCTGCACTGCGTTTCGTTGCTTTGTTTTTCTTCCGGTGAGGGATTGCAACTACCACTCAGCGAGCGTTACTCTATTACTTGAGTTGAGCAAGGACCGTGTATTTATTATATATTATTATTATTATTATTGGTTGGTACTTTAGAGTTTGTAGAGCTAATAAATGTGAATTATGTATATGATGGTTTTCTCTGGTCTCGCACTTTTTGTCACTTTGCTTTCCGCAGAGTCGCAATTGACATTGGATTCTGAAGGAACAGAATGCTCCACTGCGTGTACTCTCCATCCATCTGGTGATCCATTTTTGCAACCGCACCCTCCTTCCTTGGTTTATTTGCTGTACGCTACTTGAGGACCCAAAATTTACAACTTCATTCCCTAATAAAAAATTATTACACGCCCTTACTTCACCCACAATACTTTATCACAAGTCAACTACACTACATGTGTACATATGCCTCGTGTATATATTTTCGTATCACATCACATGGGACTTACTTATAGAAACTATTATTATTAGCAGACATGAAACAAAAGTGAGGAAGTTGTGGGAAGCTCCGAAATAAGGAAAACAAAATTGTTGTTGAGATTAGAGCGATAATAATGTCAAATTGAGGAATCAATGTTATAATATATGATATTGCTTTGAGTTGAAGATAAATAATTAAGTAGGTAGACACGTGCTTTCCCAAAACGAAAAACAAATGCAGGCACGTGTTTGGTCGTAGGGTAGTAGAAAATTGGTGTACGGTACCTAAATGTGCACGCATCTAAAAGGTGGTATATCCTTTAGGTTTGAACAATGCCACAGCGTGGGTGATATCAACAGATTTTCCGGAATATTCCTAAATCTTATCACATTTCTCTTCATTAATAAACAACAAAGACCAAATAAACAACAAAATTATATATATATATATATATAGGGATGACAAACATGTCCGCACTCGCGGGTATTGGTGAGTAAAATCTGTTACGGATAATAAATAGATAGGTTAATTGGGTACTCACGGATAATGGGGACGAATAATTTTTTACCTGTTTATAAATGAGGTGGAGCAGGTATGATGATATTCATACCCACAGGTACCCATTTAATAATATTTCTTAAATATATTAATTATTCTTGTACCACATAACACTAAAACTACACTCTCTCATCTTATTTTCTTACAAAAGTGAGGTTGATGAAGTTACCAACATGGGTTAAGCATGTTATAGAATTATGTTAGATGTAATTTGATTAATTTTCTAGCTTTGATTAGACCAATAAAATTTATGTATTTTAAGTTGTTTACTTTCGTTTGAAATTATGAGATTGAATTATTGTAGTTTTGTGATGAGACTTTAACTTAGTTGTGAGATTGATGTATTTTAAGTTATTGATTATCTTGCATTTTTATTTTATTATTTCAACAAAATTAACGTTAAATACAAGTTTAAAATTAACATTCAATTTTTATTTTTAATATTTCAATGACATTAAATATAAACTTAAAATTATTTGTAACATTTTTTTAATTTCTTAAAAAATTTATAAATATTCATAGATATTCGTGGGTATTCAAGAAATTCATGAATACCCGCTTAATAGATACCTGTGCGGATATGAGACCAATTTTCATCCAGCGAGACGGAGACGGGTTTATTATTACCCGCCCCCATGGGCCCCATTGCCATCCCTATATATATTCACCAACTTTGTTCCATAAAAGATTTGATATTCCTATCACTCCTGAAATTAATATGAATTAAATATTATATTAATTTTAATAATACTTTTGAAATTGTTTCAAATATTAAAAGAAGTACATTTTACCTTTGTATTTATTAAATTTATAATATTGGATAAATAATACAACAGAACCATTAAAGATATATAGAATCTTTTTTAAGTAATTGATCAAAATTGTCACTTGTAAATATAGATATAATAATTACTAATTAAAATAATTATTAAAATATTTTCCTCCAATTTTTTTCTTTTATTTTGAAAATGTGCGATTTTTTTTTATATTACTAATAATTACTAGTTAAAATTCTTAAATAATACTAACATATAATGTGTGATTTTAAAAGGATTTTATTTTCTAACCATTTAATATTTTTTTTCATGCATAATATTTTTTTTATAATTATTTTCTGTAGCAATTTAATATTAATATAAAATTTTGATAAATTTGTATCTAAATTTAAAAAATTTAAAATATATTTAAAATGAGACTAATTTAATAATTGATAGAAAGTGTGATTTTTATTTTTAATTTAAAAATTTAAAATATATTTAAAATATATTTAAAATGAGACTAATTTGTATGTAAAGTATATGTCATGTAAGGTAGAATTGCATTATTTGCTATAAAGATGAAAAATAAAGTTTTATTTTTCTCTCTCCTTCCACATGTTTTATTTATTTATTATTTCATATTATTATTTGGATTTAATGGTGAACACCGTTAGTATGATTTTTTTTATATACAATCAATTAATTAAAAATCATAATTTATATGATTTTTAATTTAATTATTATAAAATTAATAAATTTAGTTGTGTAAATTGTGACTGAATAATAAAGTAAAAATATGTTATGCACCTCTTTCTTTTTTATTTATTATTTCTTTTGTATATTTTTTCTTTCATATTATCAGTCTTTTTATCTATTTTTTTCTTTTTTTATTATCTTTTTCATACATATTTATCTACCTTTCATATTATTATATTTTCTTTGACTTTTTATCTTTTTCTTCATTGTCTCTTTCATCTATATTCTCTCCATATCTCTCATCTATGTTTTATCTGTCTCCCTCTCAATCACTTTCATGTTATTATATTATTTTTTTTCGTTATTATTATTATTATTATTATTTTCTTTTTCTTTGTGTCATTTATTTCTTTCCTGTTTTTTTTTCCATATTATTTTGGGTAAAAAACATAGATGAAAGAGATAATAAAAAAAGGAAGGAAAGAAAGAGGAAGAAAATAATGATAATAATATTAATAATAATATTATTATTATGAAAGTGATTAAGAGAGATAAAAACATAGATGAAGTAGAAAAAAAGAATATAAATGAGAGAGACAATAGGAAAAAAGAAAAAGGACAGAAAAAAAAAATATAATATGAAATAGAAAGAAAATATATGAAAGAGATAATAAAGAAATGAGAGAGATAATATACAAAAGAGATAGCAAAAAAAAAAGAAGAATAAAGAGAGAGAAAAATAATACAAGAGACAACAAAAATAAAAGAAAGAGAAAGGTGCCTAATATATTTTTACTTTATCATCCAATTACAATTTATATAATTAAGTTTGTTGACTTTTATAAAAAATAATTTAAGAGACATACAAACGATAATTTCTAATTGATAAAGTATATAAAAAAAAACTACATTAAAAATATCTTACCATTAAATCTAAATAATGATATGAAAGAAAAAGGAATAAAATTATATATAGAAATAAATTGTAGATGAAAAATTATCTTTCCTCATCATTTTTTCCAGCATACAAAGATTTTTTTTTCCCACAATTTAAGAAACGTTATGATGGTATTCACTTTCGTTACTCTATCACCAATTTTACGCGTTAATTATTTAATTTAATTATCCAATGACTAATTAAAACTTATGAACCGTAAGTGAGGAGATTAGTCACTGCGTTAAATTTTGGGACCAACTATCTCACCTTTTGAGGTGCCTCCAACGTAGCGAAGAGATTAGTCACTGCTGTCGGCGGTGGATACTCCAGGGACGAAAAAAAAAAAAAAAAACACTTATGAACCGTAAGTGATATGATTATATTATGCATGCTAGTCTTCGTATTAGATAAAAGCTATTCGAAGTTTTCATATTAGTCTCTAGTTTTGAAAGATTGTTGGATAATGAATACCCAATATTCTTGCCTAGTAGTTTTATCAAAAGGGTCTCTCACCATGGTTCACACAATTCCTTAGTTCTCTTAAACAATGATTATTCAATCTGATCAAATTATTTTCAATTTTCAATTTGATCAAATTATTTTCGCAGGTATTTAAAATGGTTAGAAAAACTCTGTCTATATTAGAATATTAGCCAGCTAAAAATTCAAATTATTTAAAAGTTAAATAAATAAAAAAATATTATGATATTAAGTAATAAAATTAAAATTGAGGAAATAAATATCTTTGCGTATGGTCACATGTAGAGTGGAGCGAAGGTGTGTTTCTTATCCTTAGTGAAAAGGCATGGAGGTTGTTGTTTCGCAGCCTCTGTGCACCATTCTAACCGCCACGCCCAAACACGCCCTTCTCGTTCCTTCGAAGCATTTTCCCTTCTTATCTTTCCGCGCCACCACTCTCTCCTCTCCTTTGCGGCTTTCTCCGCCACCTGGTAATTTCATTTTCTTTACTTTTTGCTTTCAACTGTCTGCGATTTTGCTTATATTTGTGGATTTTGCGGCAGTTTTGTTCGCCACACCGGAGAACAACCAATTGAGCATTGGGGAAGGAGAGGACACCGATGCCAGTGATTGGGCACTGCAAGGTACTTCGTTGGACGATAAGCTAAGAATTTATGCTTATTTTAGTAGAGCCTTCTAGTGAGAGTTTGAATTCAGGGTTTAGGGTTTTTGACGATAAACATGAATCACATCACTTCAAAATCAACTTCACTCAAAAATTTTAAATTAATTTTGGAAATGCTCATCCAAACACACTCGGTCTCTTTGGATAAATTTCTTCAGATGCACTTTTAAGAGAGAAAAATAGGAAAGAAAAATCAAATAAAATTCTTCGTAAGCTAAAATTAACTTATGCATAAGCTAACTTTCAGAAGTTCTGTCCTATTAGTTTATCCAAAATTTTATTTTTAACTTATGCATACACTAGTTTTAGCTTATGGAGAAACTTATTTTAATTTTTTTCCCTATTTTTTTTTCTCCTATAAGTGCTTCTAGAAAAATTTGTTCAAATAGACTCTTATTATGTATGTTGTAATTCACCGAACCACTTTACGTGCATTCCCCTGAAGCTATAAACTATTGCTTTTGCGTAAATGAATGCATTTGATGTGGTTTCATTAATGTATGTGCATATTGGATGGAAACACACACTTAATCTTTATAGTAAGGTTAAAATGCAAATAAATCTCTCTAATTGTAGACCAAACCCCTTGTATGGTAAGTTCAAGGAATTAGTTACTGAGTTTAGAACTTACAGTTGAAGTGGTTCCTTGGGTTTTTGGTTTACAATAATGTCATCATAATCAGTACCTGCATCTTTTGGTTAGCGGAAGTTGTATCCATTTGTTTTTTGTATTCAATTATTGGTAAGCAATTAATCAAAGGAGTGCTATAGACAGAAACATAGAAGACTACAGGGCATATTTGCTGTTCATTATTTTTTAAAAAGTTTTAATCAATGCAATCTAAGGTATAGTTTGTAGCTGAATAGGTAGGTTTGTATATTATCCTGTGTACTTCATTAGATTTAAGCCACAGGACACTTTCATGTTTCCTTCTTTCTATTCCATGATCATATACTGTACCATAATGCATGAATGGGTTGGGTTAAAGTTGGTAAATGAATTCTGGATTAGTTGTTATGAACTAGCACATAACATGGTATTTTTTTGCAGATTTTTATTCCCTGAGGAGAGATGTTGAAATTATGTCACAGCGTGTTGAAGAGATTAGAGCCTCTTCTGGTCTACAGCTATTGGAGCAAGAACTTGCCAATTTGGAGGAGCAAGCAGCTGATAGCTCCTTTTGGGATAATCGGGCTAAAGCTCAAGAGACTCTTTCGACCTTGGCTGATGTCAAAGATAAGATAAAATTACTCAATGAGTTCAAAACCCAGGTTAGATTTACTTATATAATTTTCAACTATTATTTTAGGAAGGACCTACATGTAATAGTAATAAAGAACAGTGATTCCAACTTTCAGACTTTCAGTGTCCACTTTTAAATGCCTGTCACTGGTCTAATATAGTAACAATAAATAATGGAATATAAATTTGTAAAGTTGAAACCCATAACACAGGGCTGTTTCAACTGCTGAAAGTGCATTTGATATGTACATAAAAATTGCAGTGTTATTGAGTTTGATATTGTTTTCATATCAATTAAACACCTTGCATTTTTTTCTCTATGATTAATTTTACATTACCAATTAAATCCATTTACTTTTACATTTATAAAAACAAATATTGTCATACTTTAAACATATTTAGATGTTGTTTTTATACCTGCATTGTGGGTAATTCTTTTAGTTTAGAAGGAAAAGGATTGATCTATTTTTCAACATGATGCACAAAATCATCCCTGACTCTAATTCTTCGAAAAAAAATTTCTTGCCCCTTGTTTTGTAATCTATTGTTCTCAAATTCGTTTATCTAAAAGAAAATATTCAGATTTTAAAAGTAATTTTTCTCATGGGGTTTCTTTTAGAATGATCGTAAATAGGGTAGGCCAAAGTATGCCAAAAGAAGGTTTGTTTTTAGGTTCCTGTGACTTAAATGTTTGGAAATGGTAAGTTGGTAACATCAAGGTTGGGTTTGTGACATGAAAATTCTATATAACTGATATATTGATCCAATTCGAATCAATTATCCTTGTGGATATAATTAATATAAAGGAAAACAAAATGTTAAAAGAAAATAAAAACCAAAAGGAACTAACCCACCAGAAAACTGGTGAAAAAGATAGGAAACCATCCTGTCTGCGGACTTGGCTTTTAAACATGGCTGAATTAATATTCATGAGATGTGCATGGTGTATGCCAAAATCTTCTTTTTTCTGACTCATTGATCACTAGTTGAGTTGAGTGCCTACACTTCTCTTATGCAAATTAAGCTATGTGCCAACATGGATCTTCATTGCAATGAATGTAGGTTGAGGATGGAGAACAATAAATAGTGTATATAAAAAATAAAATAAAAAAGAAACTTCTTTTCTCTTTAAACGCTGAATTAATATTCATGAAATGTGCATGGTGTATGCCAAAATCTTCTTTTTCTCTTTAAGGACTCATTGATCACTTGTTGAGTTGAGTGTCTACACTTCTCTTATGCAAATTAAGCTATTTGCCTATATGGATCTTCATTGCAATTAATGTAGGTTGAGGATGCAGAAACAATAGTTAAGCTGACTGAGGAAATGGAATCCATTGATAGAGGGCTTTTTGAGGAGGCTGCCAATCTTATTAAAGAACTGAATAAATCAATAGATCGATATGAGTTAACTCAACTTCTCTCTGGTCCTTACGATAAAGAAGGTGCTGTTATCACTATTACAGCTGGTGCTGGTGGTACTGATGCCCAGGTAAATAACTATTTATGTACAGATGTTATAGTAATCAACTTGTTTCTATTATTCCTAGTCCTAGGTGAAAGCATTTTAGTCTGGTATATTGTACTGGTAGAAGGCCAGAACTTGAATGCCAAGAAAAGCTAGAATTTATCTTTTTCCTTGTCCTGAGTAATTATTTATGGGTTATGACTTTAGAATAATATCTCTATGTTTCAATATTGTTAAACTTTCCTGGCTTTCAGGAATATTTGTTCATCTCTACCAAGTATCAAAAAATAACAGTCATATACAATCAAATCCGGACAAGGGTTCTCCCAGCAATAACATATGGGGTGTGGGTTTGTTAGTCATATGTGGGCCCTGTTTTGCTTTTTTTTATTTCCCTTGCCATAGTGCTGGGGATTTGCCATGTCTAGTGTGAGAAGATGCAACATATCCATTTTTTTCCAGTTCCTTTTTCTTCTTGTGTTATATTTGAAGTTTGAGTATTTAATCGTGATTCTCAGTATTCAGCTTTAACTTCTGTATAAAATTTACCATCTCCAGTGCAGGATTGGGCTGACATGCTTCTTAGGATGTATATAAGATGGGGTGAGAAACAGAGATACAAGACCAGAGTGGTTGAGAAATCCCCCGGAGAAGAAGCTGGAATTAAATCTGCCACCATTGAAGTTGAAGGTCGTTATGCATATGGGTATTTGTCTGGGGAGAAAGGAACACATCGCATAGTTCGTCAATCCCCTTTCAATGCCAAAGGCCTTCGTCAGGTAATAACCAACTTTTTTGGGTAGCTGAATGTCACTGTGTTAGTGTACAACAATCTCAACAAAAAATAATTATAAATGTGCTTAGTCATTTTCTGCAGACTTGAAATTGGGTATTTGATGAATCGTTAATATTATTTCCCTTTAGTTGTCAAATAAATTTTTCTTTTAAACTCCAAGGTTTTATTATTTATAAACAGACAAGCTTTTCTGGTGTTGAGGTCATGCCTCTTCTTCCAGAGGAATCTATGGATGTTGAAATTCCTGAGGAGGACCTTGAAATTAGCTTTTCAAGAGCAGGTGGAAAGGGAGGTCAGAATGTGAACAAGGTTGAAACTGCAGTTCGGATTACCCACATCCCAACTGGTGTCACTGTTCGCTGCACAGGTTCTTTTCCCTCCTTTTACACTAATTTAATCCTGCAAAAGTATATTTATCTTGATATGTCACATGCCTTTCTGAAGTCCTATTCCATGCTCTTGTTGCTTCGTTGGAACAATCTCTTAAAGAGCGAGACCATTGAGGGGGAGGGGGTTGTTATGAGCATTGTATAGTTATTTATTGCCTGTTGTGCAAAGCAGCCATTGTGCATTGTTGCACCGGGCAATATGCAGGTTGGTGCAGATAGTTGAAACACTTTATACTTGAAACAATACTTTCATATCAAGTTCACTATGTCAAAGTTTCAAACATACGCCCTGTTTCTCATTTAGGAATTCTTATCCTCATTCTAGCCCTTTCTGTATGACTAGAAGTTCTCACTTTTAGGAAACTAATTTATCAGCACAAAGTGATCTCAGCAATGTCCAGTAAGCTATTCTCTACAGCCTTCTTTGTTTGGAACATGTATATTATCTGAAAATTGAATTTGAAACTGTGAAGTGACTTTCTGAATTCAGTTGTGATTTACTTGGTTTATGTGCTTAAACGTTTTATCAACAGCAATTATTTTGTGCATTGCACACTTCTCTCGTGCTATTCCTAGTCTGAATCCAATTCAAATCATCTGCTTTTAGTTGCAAGTTTTAACTTTAAACGAGGTTATGCAGAGGAGAGGTCCCAACTGGCGAATAAGATCAAAGCTTTAAGCCGTTTGAAAGCCAAGTTGTTGGTTATAGCTGTAGAGCAACGCGCATCAGAAATTAAGCAGATTCGGGGGGACGCAGTGAAGGCTGAATGGGGACAACAAATACGGAACTATGTATTCCATCCATATAAATTAGTAAAAGATGTAAGAACAGGGCATGAAACGACAGATATCACCTCTGTTATGGATGGCGAGTTAGACCCCTTCATCAAATCTTACCTCAAACACAAGTACAGTATGTCACTGTCTACAACTGGGGTTAACTAATTATATCTTCGTTTGTAGTCACGGAAGAGGAGTTGCGGTTTGGTTGTTGTATTAGACTTAGTTGGCTTTTGTATCCCATTCCAATGCGAAATTAAGTACACAATGTCTTGTTTTGCAAGTCTTTTCCATCTGTTGCTTTTTACTGCATTAATTGTTGATGTTTTCTTAACTTGGTGTTGTATATATTACAAGAATAATGCAACTTAGGAGCAGGAAATATCAAGTTCAATGCACTTTTAATATGAGTGCAATATTTTGAAAATAGAGTATCACATGTCATTTTTGTTCTTTTACCAACCTAGCATCCATACATTATCCCAAATTTCTGCTACTCCATTTTCAATCCCTTAAATATACTATAGGTTCCAATCTTTCTTTTAAAAATCAACAGTTTATATACAGATTAATTGTTCCGCATTTTAGCAGAATATGGAGTTGTGTAGCGCGCCCGTTAAAATTTTCCAAACGTTAATTCTTCGATTAGGATTCTGATAATTAAGAGAAAGATCTTAAATGCTAATATGTTTTGTTATTCAGTAATTTTGTCTTGTAATTTTTAATTTATGCATTTTTATTTTTATTATTACTTTATATATGATTTTGAAATGTAAAAAAAAAGAATAAGAATGGATATCCCTCCCTTACTTTTACTATGTTGGAAGAAAAAAAGAATGATATAGAAAACTAGAAAAGGTAAAAACTTATAGGATTAACTTATTGGTGAAAGATTTGAATAATCTAAATGATATTTTAAATTTAATTCTCATTGCCATAATATATAAGAAAACCGAAAAGAAAAAAAAATTGAGGTATGCATCGTTTTTACCTGATGCAGGCAATGAATTGTGAATGTACAGGTTCAATTACCACAAGATGAATAAATTTACTAATTCAGCAAACATGTCACCCTCCTTGGTAAAAAATAAAGTATATTTTTGTCTACTACTTAGGAGTATTTCGTCAATTGGTATAAGGGTCTAAGAGTCCTACTACATCATATTCGATACAAATCTTAGAAAAACGTGTCCAAATGGGCATCAAGCAGTCTTCTTTCTTCCAAGAAGTAAGCTCAAAGAATATGTGCTGCCCTTCTTTTCAGCAGCTTCTACACGATTTTTACCAACCTACACCAGTCATTTATACAAGTTATCAATATGTTACAAACGGGTATTTTGTGTGTTTGCTTTCTCATCAAAGATCCACGTTGAGAACAAAATTACGTAAAATAAAATAACGCAAAAATAACTATCAGCTACTTCTTGGATCCACTTCAATGTCGACCTCGACGTGCAAGCAAACATGTTTGATCGATGCCCAGTAGTACATAATAAACCAACAATGTTGTAAAGACTGACAAAATGCATATTATAGAGATGGATAATACCTTGTCCATGACCCAATAACCAACAGTTGGCATGTACTGAGCGAGATACATGACAAACAGCACAGGCTGCACGCAAAGGATTTAAAAATTATAGTTGCAATCTGGATATTATATAGTTCATACTAATTGAAAGAATCAACAAGAGTATACTCATCATAATGAGTGCACAATACGCATGAAAGACAATTAGCCTATCTATCGCGAGAAGCCAAATGCTTAATGCAATAACAGAATTTCAAAATCAAATTGATGAAAAGTTTGAAAACGTTCAATCTTCAAATTAATGCAACTCTCAGGATTCCATAAAATAAAGCAGGAACAAATATTCCCAACGTCATACTAGAAGATGTTAAAAATTGACAAGGAACCATTATCTTAGCGTCAATTACAGTTATACGAAGGATTTCCTGAACAAAGTCACAAACATTGGACGTCAAAGAATGTAATGTGTATGATAGGTAACATAAAAAGGGAGCAGATAAACCTAAATTAGTAACCAAAAGCAAGTATTAATTAAACCAATTCATTGTATGAAATAATAACATAGTCAATCCACTCTCTCCTCCCAACACACATACCATCGATCATATCAACTCCAGAAAGAGAATCTATGGAGACACAAATGTTGAAAAATGGCAGTGTATTTAAACAGAAGTTAATTGCTAATATCAATGATTTTTTACCTGATATGATATCCAAGCTTCCTTTAAGCCATGGGTTGCAGCAATAATAGTTAGCTCAGCACACCTTTCTGCTGACACACGCTTCTGTGGAGACAGAATTTTACATGGAAGAAACAAACTATCAATGATTCAAATGAATATGTTCAGTACAACACCACATGGCACGAGTTCAAGTGGACAATAGTAACATGCTAATCAAAACGCAATGGGAAGAGTATATTGTATACTCCAAGATCTGGCTCTAAGCTGCTTCTCTACAATATATATATTCAACTTCTTTAAAAAATAACATTATATATTTTACATATTCTTAGTTCTAGTTTCATTTAGTAAACATAAGATCAAAAAGCCTACTACATGTGTCTACTATGTGTTCATACTTCCTAGTTTTAAAATAATTCAATATGCACTATCAAAAGGAAAAATATGCAGTAAAATTATATTCGTTAACTTTGGCTAAAGAAGTACAATAAAAGCAATTTTCTTCATTCTTGCAAAGAATGTATCTATAAACTTAGAAAATGGTCATGTATTTGATATAGCACTCAGAGAATTAGTGTTTCTAAAGATAACTGTACTAAACATATTAAGGTGGGAAGAAAGTAAAGAAAAAGTGCACTCAAGTTTTGTCTTTCTTCACAGTAGTAACGGATGATGAATTAGCAAATACACATACCTCAGATGGAACCCTTGATCCAGCGTTATTTGATGTTGCTATTGGACCAGGACAGACCACAGTTACCTGGATTCCTTTCTGACAGAGCTGTCACCATTAAATGATTAATAGTGCATGACTCTGTACTGTATGTAATTAGAATAAAACAGCATCATTGTACCGAAAGATAATATACAGTCTACATACCTCTGAACGCAAGGTATGGAAGTAACCATTGAGTGCAAATTTAGAAGCAGAGTATACAGCCTGACCTGGGGCAGGTGTCTTTCCTGCTGCACTACTCATCTGATAGTACATAAAAGTACAAAAGATTATCAATTTATGAACAAGTTCTCCAAAATTACATGCATTAGTTATTAGCATAACGAGAAATCAATACCAAATCATAATACATGTCAATATATTTTTACCAAACAGTTAAAATTATGATTTATGATTGTCATTCAAGGATAATATGCCACTAGTGACTCTTTTTTGCTGCACTTGCTTGGGTTAATAAACCAATGCAGTTATAAATGTCTGCCTGCAAGCTCCACCTGCTGTAGTTTCTAACCAGTTATGTGTGTTTGAATCACTGTTACGTTCAGTTGAATTGAATGTGCATTAGAAAGTGTTTTAAGTAAAACGAACATGGTTGTTAGAGTTGTTAGAGTGTGTTTGGTTTGCAGTTGGTGCACTTTCCAAAGCACCCAAACATGAAAGGAAGAAATCTATGCATTTCCATTCAATGTGGAAATATACGTCAAAAGACACGCACTTAATATACTATTGCCATGCAGATTCCATAACCAAGGTAAGATATTTCCAAAACTGCATACCACCACAAAATGACCATGCCCCCTCTTCAACATGAAACGTGCCAAGAGCTTTGTGAGAGTTATTGTCCCCAGAACATTCACATCAAATGTAGCCTAATCAGGAAAAATGAGTATAAAACATCAGACGACTACTTTTAATGTTTTGAAAGAAGACTAAAAAGGAAAAGAAAAAAATTGAAGTGTTGGTAAATAAGTGGCAGGAGTAAGAGTCTCCTTCATGAGATACCTTAAGACCTTCCTCAGTTACATCTAAAATTGATGTTTTCTGCAAAACAAAAATCAATTCATAATACCTTTAATTAAATAAGTATATAATATATAAATACCCATTAAAACAGACAAGTGAAGAGAAATTTCATCAACTATCAACAAAGCATCACCACTGTATTACACTGGCATGAAATGATAAGCAAGCATCATCCAATGACATTTTCTCAATTGCTGGTGTTCAGTTAATAGAGATAGTTACTACAAGCATGCTGACATACAAGGACACTAAAAAAAATGTCACATTTGAAGTAGGAATTCCGGCTGATGAAATGCTTCTAAACTCTGAAGTCATTATGCTATCTAGGAATTGGAATAAACATACACAAATAGAACCATACACGCACACACATCCAGAACAATGAATTAGTGACTGATGATGTTGCCTATAAATTGTATTTCCAAATCAAAGGAGGGCACCCAACCTTCATTTTCACTTGTTTTACACTAATAGGTGTAGCTTCTAACATAACAAACATATAGAAGTATTGTCTTCTGGTGCAATTTCTGATTTATGAAATTAATCAAACCATTAGATAAAGCAATCAGTCACTTACAGGACGCTCAAAAGCTGCATTATGGATCATGTAATCAACACCATCCGGAAAAAAAGATTCTGCTTTCTCGACAGCTTCCCTAAGAGAACCCTCTCCAGATGATAAATCCAACGGTAAAACCTTGACTTCATCAGGTGCATGCTTACCTGGTGGTACGCAAACCATTTATTAATAGAGCAAGGCAAGAGTCTATACCATTATTTTTACACAATATAATAAGTAATTTAGACCTCATATGTAGCTGCCAATAATACAACATACCTTTCAGCTGTGCCCTTACTCGGTTTAGCTCTACTTCATTCCTTGCAGAGATTATAAGCTTGGCCCCTAAACTTGCAAGCTGTTTAGCCAGAATCTCCCCTTCATGTATATCATTGTAAAAACAAAAAAAGGAAAATAGGAAAAGAAAAAAAGAAAAAGGAATCGGTTAAGCAAGCAAAATTAGTTACAAATAAGGAAAAAAAAAATTCCAGCTGTTCAACGGAATCCTTCTATATTTTAGAGAAGAATTTAAGAGCAAAGAAATCCTGAAATAATAAAATAAAATAATCAAAAGTGGTATTGTATGGAATTGGACTTGGTACAAGGTTTCGGCTTCGAATTTTGTAAATGAAAAATAAGTGGTTTGAAGGAAAAAGCTCATTAAAAGTAGTTAAGTCAGGTTAAGGATATTAGTAACATGGTCATACCAAAAAAAATAGTGGTATGGTATGGCATTGCAGATGAATTAGATAAAGATACATGTTCAATAAAGAATTGAATGCGTTAACTTCCTTAATTAAAATTGTCAGAGGTTAACTACTTATCAAAGTGTTTTCCGGGCGAATTAGAATTGGAGATTGAATTTGATGCAAGTCCAATGTTAATATGAATGAATGAATCAACCCTATAGAAACAATAAAATAAAATAAAAAGGGTAGAGTTATTGTTATACCAATTCCTCGGCTAGCACCAGTAATCCAAACAACCTGGGAGGAAACGAAACACGAAAAGACAAAGTCATTTATTTAAGACACGAGAAATGGAGGACTCAGGTGTGAGTATCATTCTCGTAACCTTATCTTCAATTTGTTGGCGTTTAGGTTGCTTCTTAGACATCAAAGTGAAATCGCCTAATAAATCAAAACGATAATTAGAATCGAAAAAAAGAAGAAGAGAGAAAGTAGTGGAATAATAGAATTACCATAAGCGGTGAGGAATTTGTAGAGAAAGATGAAGAAAACGAAGAGGCAAATGAACAGCACAACAAACATGTTGGAGCTTAAGCTGTGCAGTGAAATGCCTGGGCGAGTTTCGAATGGGGAAGAATGCTTACAGTTACTCAGCTTAACAAAGCCTTTTTTTGTTACCAGCCAACAATTGAATGCGTGCACAAAATTTAAAAAAAATAGTTATAAAATTAATGGAAAAAAATAGTTATAAAAATAAGATTATTAAAAAAACTATACACCAAAGAATACAATCTCTTTTATTATTACTATAGAGGTATAAATTTATTTATATATGAAACCAAGTCTATTATTTAAAAATTAACGATATATACATACAATAACCAATTTGTTAGTTCAACTAATATTAAATTTAGTTTAGTTAAACAACATCTTGGATTCGAATATTGTAAATAAAATAAAAAATAAAAAGAGATACATATTAAAAATTGTCATGGAGATGGAGATACTACTTTACTAAAAGCCAACTCATTAAAAATGAGTTATATCTTCTTATTAAAAAAAGTTATTACATAACAAACTCTCAATTTCATACGTAGTACAACTAGTGTGGTTCCGGATCTAAAATTGATGTTAACAAAGTCATTAATTTAAGTCTCTTTCAAAAAAAATATTTTTTATATAAATATTTATATAATTTTTTCAAGTTCTCATAACTTAAAAGTTATTTTTTAAATTATTATAAATTCACTTAAAAAAAACTATTTCCAAAAGATATTTAAATATAATTATTTTTTCAAAATTTATCTCTATTTTTTTTATAAGAAATATTATTATTAAATTTTTAAAAGTTTCACTTTAAAAATTGTTTTTATGTTAGACTTATTCTATCCATTGTAAAGTAAAATTTTGCAACTCATTAATTTGAGCCCGTAATCTACAGAATTTTTTTAAGTAATTAAAAATATATAAAATATAATAATTTTAACGATCATATACATAAAATGTCATTTACGTAAATGAAATAAAATAAGAGAAATTAAAAATAACCAATAAGATCATATAAGTGTGTAACTGTATTAAATCTATAAAATTATTTGCAGTAATTACATAAAAAAAACATATAGCAATATCTAAAATAAATAAAGAAGAAAAGTTATAACAACAAATTAAAAGTTTCATTTGAATCTGGTTAAATTAACATATAAAACGAGTAAGTAATAATAATAATAATAATAATAATAATAATAATAATAATAATAATAATAATAATAATAATGTTACGGATTCTTTATTTGTTACGCCTTTGTTTCCTCTATCTTGTCTTGTCTATGTTTTAGGTTTCATACTCATAAAAAATAAAAATAAAAAACTATAAGAAGGTAACATAAATAATATCGTCTACCACTTTTGTTTTCTTTTAAGAAGGAATCATAAATAATATCATTTACCACTTTTTTTTCTTTCATAAACATGATTTATGAAGTATTTTAAAATTAATAACTAAGAATTAATTTATATTTAAAAATTGATTTTCATTGATTAAACATTAATTTAATACAAACAAAAATAAAATCTGAATAGATCATGGCAACCTATATGTTTTAGGATAAGTTTTACAGTTATTGGGATAAGAGATTTGATTGATTTGGAAAACCTGCAGTCTACACAGTTAATGAGTCTTTTTTAAAAAAAAAAATTACATAATTATAGGAGAAATTTAGTTCGTTCTATGAAACCTATAAATTTCGCAAATTCCGTATGCTAGCCTATTTAAGTGAATTATTATATTTGTTAGCTTTATAAAAATTTTAAAGTATGAATGATTTTAGTATTTCATTAGTAAATACTAAATAAGTATCGGTTATAAGTATTAAATTTAATATAGTTTCTATTTAAAACATATTGCACTTTTACTATTTTAATATATTTTAGATTTTTTAATATATAAATATGTTTTAGATTAAATTTACAAAATTTGATATGTTAATACTTTAATGTTTTAGTTTAAATGTAAAAACTTTTATATGTTAAGACTTTCATATTTTTTATTATTTTTATATTTATATTTGTATATAATATTTTAATGTATTTTTCCATCACATTTTATAGAAATAAAAAAGAAAAAAAAATCTCAACTTTTTTATTGGGCCTGCAAAGTAGCCAATTTAACTGCAAATTTTGTGGGACAAATATGAAATAAGAAAAAGATTATTTATTTCACAGATTGAAGATAAAAATATAGACTTTGCAAACCAAATCTTAAGTAGGTCTAAGATATCCACCGTTATGTAGAAGTTTATTTTTAGCACCTTAACTTTAAATATTGACTTTTGATATATTTTTTTTTATTAAAAATGTGTCAAATTTTATATTCGTTACAAATTTTATCAATCCAATTTAATAGTTTGAAATGTTATTTGAAATCAAAACGTTTTATGGTTTAAATTAAATCAATTATAAAATTTAAAAAGATGAACAAATATAACTTTTTTGAAGGATAAAATTATTGATTATTAAATATTAAAATAAAACTTATTATATCTAAAAAAGTTTAAAAAATATTTTTCAAAAATTAAATACAATCTTATTTAATTTAACTAATATTTTAAATTCCATAAATATTATTAAATGTACATTGATATTAATATTTTATAACTTTATTAAATATTCTTACAACGAATATGAAAAATTAATTTGTTAATTAATATTTTTTAAGTTCCACATATATTATAGTCTTTTCAATTCTCATTCGAATTAAAACCGTTTTCAATGTTAAATTAAATTGGTTTCAAAATTTGTGAAGGCTTAAATTGTTGTTTTATTAAATATTAAAATAAAAAATAATATTTAAATATTAATTAATTAACACATGCATTGGATAACGAGGGCCTTGGCAGAGTGAGGAAGAGAGTTGGTTGGGCCTAACGGGAGAAGCCCAGCGAGTGAAGGAAAAGAGAAGAGAAGAGAAGAGGGTTCTGTTTGGGTGGCACATTATCATCCATCAAACACAGAAGTGCGAATCGGAAAGAACAGAGTAGAGAGTGCGGTGTCAATGGCGGCGAGTAGAAGCACTTTACCTCTCATCAAATACCTGAGAGTGCGCGTCGACGCGCTTCCCCGCAACTCTCCCTTAACCCTCGCTCCCAACTTCTTCATTCGTCGCTTCTGCGAAGAGGTTCGTGGCGGCTTCCTCGACAAATCCGAGGTCACAGATCGCGTCATCTCCTGCGTCAAAAACTTCCAGAAAGTCGATCCTTCCAAGGTTCTACGTCCTCATTTTCATTTACATTTTTTAAATCGTTTCGTTTTCCTATTTTTTATAGCCCTAATTTTTTTGTTTTCAACCGGAACCCTTGATAACCTGTTTTTTCGCCACGTCACGCTTAGTTGATCGCGTTAGAATCATGGTTTTCAGAAACATTCCGCCGCCGCGATATGGTTTTATTGGAGTGTTTCGCAACCGTAATTGTGATCGCGTTAGCTGCATTTGTTTGTGATTGGATAAATCTGAAGGATTTTATAATGCTTGAAGGATTGTTTAGGGTCTGTTTGGATAAACCTCTAGAAGCAGTTATAGGAGGAAGAAATAGGAAGGAAAAACGAGTTAAGATAAAATTAGTTTATGTATGAGCTAATTTGTAGAAGCTCTTTTATATAGCTTCTCCGAAAAATTATAAATTAGCTAATACATAAGTTAAAAGGAAAAACTTGTTTTTCATTTTATCTTCCCATCTTTTTATCTAAGAAATGTTTTTGGAAAAATTTATTCACACAGACCCTTATTATGATTTCTACTACTTAGGAGATTATTTGTTTAGTATTTTTACTTTAGAAATCACATAGGAGAGAGAGTAATGCTTCAAGGATAAAAGTGATGGTCATTCGATGATGTTAGGTTTATGATTTCAATGTTTAGTGTGTGTTTGGATTGGCAGCGAGTTGAACTCGTTATGATTTTTGGATCTAACAAATGGATGAAATCATGGTAAGTTCACGACAAAAGCAAGAATCATGGTGAGTTTAACTTATGCATCGCCAATCCAAACACACATTTAAGCCATGGACTCTTTTATCCAATATATGAAACTTTTGACAATTTTACTGGGCTAATTTCTTTATTTTGTTTATCTGGTTTTGGAAATTTCTATTTCTATTTTTATTTTTTATAATGTGGTTGAGTGTTTTAGTTGTCAGGTTACTTACCCAATGCTCACTTCCAAAAGTTCTACATCCTCATTTCTGCTTCCATTTTTAAAATTCCATAAATGATTAAAAACTCAATTATGTTTGCCTTTATGCCTAATTTCTTGATCCTGTTACATTTTCAATTTGCACAAGCCCTAGAACTATGTTACATGAGTTGACTGATGATGATGTTAGGTTCAAGTTTAAAATGTTCAATCCATGGACTCTGTTATCCAATGTGTGAAACTTATAATTATTTGATTTCCTTTCATTGATTTTGTTGAAAAATTCTACTTCTAATGATTATTGATGTGATTCTGAACGTTTGTTTTGGTCAGGTTAACCCAAATGCGCACTTCCAGAATGACCTTGGATTGGATAGTTTAGATGCTGTAGAGATCGTGATGGCTCTTGAGGAAGAGTTTGGGTTTGAGATTCCCGATACTGAGGCTGACAAGATCAACTCTATTAAACTTGCTGTCGACTTCATTTCATCTCATCCTCAGGCAAAGTAGTGGAATCCGTGTATAATTTTTCTTTTGTTTCTCATAATCTAGTTTAGACGCGTCAGACATTTTTGCTTCTAAAGTGGAATTTCATTTTCTTATCCCTCAGAAGAGTGTTAGCTGAGGATGTGCCTGCTTCCTTTGGTAGTATTGGCATTACAGAACTTCACATTTTGTGTTCCTCTGGTGTTCGTGTCAATAAGAATTGTGTGTTAAATTTCTGATCAGGAAATTGTGAGGTCTTGAGTTTGCCTCAGCATCGGATTCATTGGGCTACTTTCTTTTGCTTTGTTTTATTACTTCTTCTATAATAGTTTCGCTCATGTTTAGTCTCCATGATCATAATTGATGTTATACATTCATACATGGTTAGATGGTTCTTATGCAATGTCTTGTTTCCGTTTTGACTTTTGAGGAAGATATGCTCTTTTAGTTTTAGAGTCCTAACTTCCAGGTGATTAGTTGTGGAATGTCACGGGATTTGTTGGTGAACATTGGGGACATAACACCGAGAATTTCAATCATGTTTGTCAAACTTGCAAATTAACTCATACAATAGTATGAGTTTACAATTTTTGGCAGTGTAATCGAGTTATAAATTGTACGAAAACTAATTTCTTATTTTCTTCATTGGCTCGGATAGAATTTTCAATCTTGCGCAAAATTGCCCAATTTTGATAATGGGAAATCATTTTGTTGTAGCATAGGGTTTGTTGTAAGGATGCGGTATATTCCCCCCACTAAGGGGCGTTTGGTAGAAGAATCATTTTTTTTTTGGTGTCCGGGGTTTTGGTAATTATACGTAAAATTATTTTACTAATTATCATTCAATTTAATTTCTATTTTTAAAATATTCAATTTAATCTATTATTAAAATAAATCACCTTCCCCCTCCCCCTTGGCAGTGTTTTAAATACGTATGTGTAATATATATAAAAATTTATTATTTATTTGTTATAATATTATTTTAGATTAAATTAAAATAATGAAAGAAAAAAGCGTTTTTTCTTAATATATAACTTTTTTTTTATCAGGTTTCAATTGATTTGACCAATTCACACTAATTATACGAGTCACCTTTTTTTAGTCAATTACGATTACGATATCGATTTTTGTTCAGACAAATTGAATTGAATGGTTCAATTCAGCTTTTAAAATAATTATTAAAATTGAAAAAGAAGTATGATAATAAACTTGATTATTTTAATAAAAACACGATGGATAACAAATTAAACACTTGAAATAAAATAAAAAATTAACATAAAGAAAGAGTTATACAGTAAAATAAAATATTAAGTAGATAAAAGAATATTCAAGTTTATTTGGATAAAAAATAATAAATTTATTAGATAAAATATTATTTAATTTGGATCATTTATTTTTTAAAATATTTAATTTAGTCTTTCTATTTTTAAATGTTTAATTTATTTCTCTAGTTTTTTTTTAAAAAGAATATTTAATGTTATCTTTTAATTCAAAATAACACTAACGAAATTAATAAATATATGAAAGCGGAACATTGAATTTTTTTAATATTTTTTTTACATTAGAGAGTTAAATTGAATGTTATAAAAACAGAAAGATCAAATTAAATAATGCAAAAAAAGGGAAAAAATAATTTAATCTTACTAATATTAATAACTTAGAGTAAGGGGGGTGTATTGGTTTAGGATTTCGTAGGATTTTAAGCAAAAGTAGTGTGCAAACACTATCACTTTCCATGAGTACTGGTTCACAATCAAGCTCATCGTTGCCCCTTCTCACTGCTGGTGTGGATGGAGAGAGTTCTTCAGATAACAAACAACCACTAACCACAGTTGCACTTGATACCACACAAACTGGAGTCATTGAAACTGCACCCAGAAAATCCATCGACACGTTTGGACAAAGAACTTCTATATACCGTGGTGTAACAAGGTATTTTATTTTAAACCTATGAAAAGATATGCATGAATATTTATTATTTGTTATGTATGAATATGAGCCGTCACAAATCTTTCATTACTGCTTCACATCCCAGTTTTAAAAGTTCCTTTAGTCAGTTTCGTTGTTGTAACAAGTTTTTTTTTTTTTTTTTTATTTCAAAATATACTAAAATATGAATGGTTTGATCACCTTTAAATTATTGTTCAATTTTAACAAAATTTGATATACATATATAAAGTGATATGAACTTTCAATCTAACGATTAGATTTACAAAATTCACATTTAATATAAAATTATTAAGCGGTGTAAAACTTGGTAAAAGTTACACCGGTGTAATTATAACCCCCTCATATATATATATTATAAATATATGTTAAAGATGTATTAGGTAAAATAGTAGATATGTATATTATTCGTTTTAAATTTATACTCCATGGGAATTCCTATATTATTTGTTTTTAAGAAAATATTAAATAGTTGTAAATAAAAATATATACTTTTATTATAAATAAAAAAATAAGTATATTATATTAAATATTTAAAATCTTTTTTAAAAAGGTAAAATTTAAAACGGTCCAAAATTTATATATTAAATTTAATTCTAAAGTACCTTTTATTTTTAATTAAAATATAATACATGTCAAAGTAGCTTTTATAATACCATTTAATCATAAGCAAAAGTAATCATATTTATGATAACCATTATAAAAGTTATTTAAATAATGATTTATTATTAACAGTGTAAATTTTTTATAGTGTAAATTGAAATTAAATTCTTGTGAAAGATTATATATTTTCAAGATTAATTTCTATTGGTGTTAAAAGATTCCACAAAAGAATCCCAGGTGTTGTACTTGAACTAGACTCTGAACCGAAACTGCACGAGACTGACAAGTCATGGATGTGGCAACGGTGGATATGAAGCTGTAATGGTGCCCTGGTGGTATTTTTTTTTTATTTAATTTTTTCCTTTGGGAGTTTACCAGTTGGGTTGGGAGAGACAAAAGTTTAGAGTCTGACATGCTTTTGATTTTATTTTTAATTTTAATGAGTTGTCAATTTTTAGTGGTTGTGTGCAAAATGTGACGTGTTTTGTCGCATACAAGAATTACTCTAAAATTTGTCAATTCTTTCCCTGGTTGGGATGTATCAAAACTTATGCCTTTTCTAATAAAAGTGGACAAGTACCAACTTGGAAATAGCCATAAAGTGCAAGTTTTGTTTAGGGATATTAAAATTATCCGGGAGTATGACCACATAAATGATGATATGTGTTAATTTTGTCAGAACTTATATTTTTTAAAAATATTTTAATATTTTTTATTTAACCCATATTAATTTATAACTTTTTAAATAATAGTCCCTAGCCTATTTAAATATGTTTTATCTTCTTCATTTTCTTACCCATTTCATTTTCATTTTTGTTCTCCTTAAGCCTCCATCGGAATCCGAAGCCACCGATTCAAGATCGTTGTCGCTGCCGCCGGATTCTTCCCGGAGCTCTTGCTTCGCTTGTTGAATTACATTCAAGTTGCCAAATCTCTATGAGAAGGAGATGTTGTGGGTGAGAGAGACTGATCTTCTCATCCACATTCAATTGAGTGAAAAATTAACATTGATAATGTCTGATAGATATTTTATGAAAATTTTTATGTCTGTTTAAAAACATTGAAATTGTTTGACTTGAAGTATATATCTTGTAGAAATGTATACAACGAAAAATATTCTATTTTTAATATTAAACTTATTCAAATAGAGATGCAGCAGACATGTCCCACTTTTTTTTAATTTTATTTTAGGCATTTCCTTTGGTGCAAGTTTTGTTTAGGGGGTGCCAAAACTTCATGTGACTAGGACCACATAAACGATGACATGTGTTAATTTTGTCAGAACTTATATTTTTTAAGAATGTTTTAATATTTGCTATTTAACCCTCATTAATTTATAACATTTTAAATAATAGCCTCCGGCCTATTTAAATATGTTTTATCTTCTTCTTATGATTTTTTTTAAAAATCTTATCAAATGTCAAAACTCTACAAAATCCCATAAAATCCATTAAAATCCTGATTTAAAAGTCCTGCAGAATCTATTAAAATCTTAATTTTAAGTCTTGTAGAATCTTGCAAAATTTTAAAAGTCTTGAAAATCCTGCAAAGTCTTCTAAAATCTGCAGGATTTTTTTTAACTAAAAAAGTCCTTTAAAATCCTAATCCAATACACCCCCCTAAATTAAAATAATACCCACCCTCCCCCTAGCGCAAGGTGTAGTTATATTAGACAACTTACTTTTTAAACTAAGGGGGTGTATTGGATTAAGATTTTAAAGGACTTTTTCACAATCAAGCTCATCGTTGCCCCTTCTCACTGCTGGTGTGGATGGAGAGAGTTCTTCAGATAACAAACAACCACTAACCACAGTTGCACTTGATACCACACAAACTGGAGTCATTGAAACTGCACCCAGAAAATCCATCGACACGTTTGGACAAAGAACTTCTATATACCGTGGTGTAACAAGGTATTTTATTTTAAACCTATGAAAAGATATGCATGAATATTTATTATTTGTTATGTATGAATATGAGCCGTCACAAATCTTTCATTACTGCTTCACATCCCAGTTTTAAAAGTTCCTTTAGTCAGTTTCGTTGTTGTAACAAGTTTTTTTTTTTTTTTTTT